GAGAGAGAGAGAGAGAGAGAGAGAGAGAGAGAGAGAGAGAGAGATGGATGCTTAAACTATGTCAAGTGATTGCCTTGGTATGCTGGCTTGGTTTATGTCAACTTGGTATAAGCTGGGGGGAACTTCAAATAGGAAAATGTCTCTGTAAAATGAGGCTGCATAAGATAGGGTTTGATCCCTGACACAAACTGCCAAGGTCAGTGGAGGCCAGCCCAGGCTACATGATTTCAAGTTAAAAAAAAAAAAAGCAATATTCCCACATTTTAAATTAAACCTTCAGAGACTCATTGTTAGAAAAATCTGAGGAAGGCGGGACACAGTGGTGCAGGCCTTTAATCCCTGAGCTGAGGCAGGTGGGCTGACATCTGGGAGTCAGTAGTTAAAGCTACATAGGGATGGATACTTTGTCTCAAACAAACAAACAAATAAATAAAATAATAAAATCCCAGGATATTCCACTCTGTCTTTAGGATGCTAGTTCCCCAGGAATGGCTTACTCTTCTTATCCCAGAAAAACAGCTAAGCTCTCATGGTTATTCTCACGGCTGCAACGTAGCAAGCGACAGGCTTATTAGTAGGCCATAGCCTCTAAGGAGAATCTGGGTTGTAATTTGATCCAAGTGTGTGAGGGGGAGGGGAGGCCTGAGAGTGCACACTGTACACATGATGGGGGCACTCAATCAGAAGCATGGACAGTTATACAAGAGGAGACCTATTGCCAATACTCTATATAATGAATGCCCTAGCTAACTCAATACCCTGAATATACAAACTCAGATCCAGTTTAAAGGGGCTCGCCACGAGTAGCTGGAACATCTTTGTGTTATTTGACTAATCACACACCTGAAGTGGGAACATTCTCATGACCAGTTAACTATACAAATGACACTCCATGGTACATCTAAATTCAGTTTTCTTTTTTTTTTTTTTTGGTTTTTCGAGACAGGGTTTCTCTGTGTAGCCCTGGCTGTCCTGGAACTCACTCTGTAGACCAGGCTGGCCTCGAACTCAGAAATCCACCTGCCTCTGCCTCCCAAGTGCTGGGATTAAAGGCGTGCGCCACCACGCCCGGCCTAAATTCAGTTTTCAAATGCTTTGTCTTTCTTGTAATGAACAGCTGGCTTTAGGATCGGCTTTCCTTGACATATTGTGATGCCTGTAGGCAAAACCTGCCTAGCCAGAGTAACTTACTTACATCCCTTATTTACAGGTTTCCTGTATGGCCAAAGAAGCTATTTTACTACAGGCAAGACAATACTTAGGGCAAGGGGGAAAGTATGGATTCAGTCAGTCAGTCAAGTACAGATTCAATCCCCAGAACTCAAGTAAAAAACCTGGACATGCTGCCATCTGCTGAGGAAGTAGAGACACGTGGATACCCAGGACTTGCTGGCCAGCAGCCCAGCCTAAGAGTGAGCTCCAGGTCAGTGACCCTCTATCTCAAAAAGCAAGGTGAAGGACACTCAAACTGACTTTTGCCTCTCTCTATACACATGCACTCACCCTCCTACACGCGCACACACACACATACACTCACATATATGAAAGACTTTACTATGGAGCACCTGATTTGTGACTTTTTTTTTTACATAATTGAAAAGAAAAAAAATCCTACACAATAAGATTGTTTACATCTCTCCATTCAAGTAAAGCTGCTATCTCTTAATTCCTTTAAAGTCATGCTTTAAAGCCTGTGCAGTGGTTGGAGTAATGGCCACCACAGGCTCATATATTACTGTTTGGGAAGGATTAGGAGGCGTGGCCTTGTTGGAGGAGGTGTGTGACTGGAATGAGCAAGGTTTCAAAGCCCACATGATGCTCAGTTAGCTCCCACTGCCTCCTGCTCATGGATAAGGATGTAAGCTCTCAGGTACCGCAACAGGCTCCCTACCATGATGTTAAACAGACTTACCCCCTGAACTGTATGACTATGGTGTTTTGTCACAGCAACAGAAAAGTAACTAAGAGTCCATTTCACAATTGAAAAGGCAAACTGTTTCTACTACATTTATTTTAAATTAGAAAGTAACTCATTACTTCTAAATTATGTATATGTACCTGTGATTGTGCACATGATGCCAACCACTCAATTCAGTGCTAAGAACTGAACTCTGAGCCTCTGCAAGAGCAGGTGGCCCTCTTAACTGCCGAGCCATCTCTCCAGTCCACCTAGTGAGATTCTTTTTTTTTTTTAAAGATTTATTTATTTATTATATATGAACACACTGTAGCTGTCTTCAGACACACCAGAAGAGGGCATCAGATCTCATTACAGATGGTTGTGAGCCACCATGTGGTTGGTGGGATTTGAACTCAGGACCTCTGGAAGAGCAGTCTGTGCTCTTAACCGCTGAGCCATCTCTCCAGCCCCCCTAGTGGGATTCTTAAAGTGCACTCTGACAACTGGCTTGAAGGAGAAGGCACATGAAGACATCATAGTGAGAAGCTATCTAATACAAGCCACATTTAGCACTTTTTTTACTGAGAACATGTCACATGTAGGTTCTCCTTAACTTATGACAGGGTTCAATCAACTGATGTCACTTTGACATTAAAAAGTTGAAAAATATTAGGAAGGTGTCATAAATGAAACTAAATTAATACTACCTGCCTATAGATTCCCAGCAGTAATGTATGGGACCAAAGTAAACACATCAAGAGGAGGAGTGTAGCCACCAGCCATGTTCTTCCCCTGGCCTCAATTTCCTTATTTTGTATGACTGAAGACTTGAGAAAAAAATACTAAGCACTAAGACTGGATGCAGCCAACTAAACTTTAAGTTCCCATCTGTTACTTAGTCTTTCCCAGAACATCTGCTAAGCTCTGGCCAGAATGGCTTCTGCCCATACCTGTCCTGTTGAGCCGGGCCATGTTCATCATTGCCTCTTGGTATGCCAGCTCTACGTCTTCTTGGGTGACCACTAGCTTAATTTTATTCCATTTTTCGGGCTAGCCAAAGGAACACAGGTGAGAGAGAGAAAAAAAGAAAATGTGATTCATTTTTATTTCTAAGCATGTGCAAAATGAATACTTTTCTTGGTCATCTTCTGGGACCTAGCATGTGGATGCGTGTAGATCCTGCAGTGATCAAGCCCAGGGTCCCACACATTCTGCATCTCCCACAACACTGAGCCATACCCCAGTCACTGGGAATTTTATTTACCTAGTTGTCAAGACACAGAAGTATTTTAAGTCAATACTCTTCTGTGATTAGTGTTTTTTCAGAGGAACTCTCATTCTCTCTTTGGCTTACCTCGTATTTCTGTAGTAAATATCATAGCTTGTTGGAGATGTAAACCTAACAGGCACACAGCTGTATCCTGCTCTGATTGGGCCAGGTGTAATCCCTTTATTAACATTGTTTTCAAGGGTTGAGATATCAGGCAAGCACTTGCCCAGTATTCACAAAGCCTTGAACACCACAAGAACAGAATTTCCCATGTCCTTGGTTCCCTTCCCTGTTATACCCTATTCTTTAACTGACTCCTGCAGTGAAGCTATCTTTTTTTGTTTTGTTTTGTTTTTTTCAAGACAGGGTTTCTCTGTGTAGCCCTGGCTGTCCTGGAACTCACTCTGTAGACCAGGCTGGCCTTGAACTCAAAAATCCGCCTGCCTCTGCCTCCCAAGTGCGAAGATTAAAGGCGTGGGCCACCACTGCCCGGTGCAGTGAAGCTATCTTGATATAAACAGACGTGAAATCTCCAACTGTCCATGCTGAGGACAGCTTTCGGCAAGCAAATAAAGTTATCATTAAAGGGACAAAAAAAAACCCTTTGTCTGATTTTCAAAGAAGCTAGCATCATGATGTAAGGTTCATGGCACGAGGAGCACTAACTGCTCTATGATTCATGCATCTTCGCTTACGTGTCTTGAACACTACATAAACAAAACCCAAGGAGCTGAGGTGGGAGCTCAGTAGCAGAGCTTACCTAGCTCTCTCTGTGAGGCTGAGCTTGGTCCCTAGTATCACAAAACCTACTGTTAAACATTAGAAATAACTTCATCTACCCTTAATCCCAGTACTCCCACCTCTCCCAGAAATAACCCCACTCTGATGTCTGTATCTATCATTCTTTGCCTGTCAAAACCCAGGATCCTTAGATGATAAGATTCTAAAACTATATGACAACTACCTTTAACCTTTATTAAATAAGCAAAACATTGTGCTGTTACATTGCATTTGGAACTTGCTTTTTAAAATTCTGAATATTCGCCAAAAATCAATAATAAAGCAAGGATGTGTGAAGCAGAAGTGGAGAGAACATGCAAGCTACACAGTCATCCTCTGTGGGCTGTCCCCAAAGCAGCTCCCCAGACTGCTTTGCATCACTGAGGAAGGAGGGAAAAGAAGTAAATAATATGGCCATTTTTGAGATTTTATTAACACTAGTTTTTTTCAAGAAAGGGTGTCTTTGTGTAGCTCTGGCTGTCCTGGACCTTGCTCTATAGACCAGGATGGCCTTGAACTCACAGAGATCAACCTGGCTCTGCCTCCTGAATGCTGGGATTAAAGGCATGCGTCACTACCGCCCAGAGAGAATTTTTTTGTTTTGTTTTGTTTTTTTCGAGACAGGGTTTCTCTGTGTAGCCCTGGCTGTCCTGGAACTCACTCTGTAGACCAGGCTGGCCTCGAACTCAGAAATCCACCTGCCTCTGCCTCCCAAGTGCTGGGATTAAAGGCATGCACCACCACCGCCCGGCAAGAGAGAGAATTTTTTATATTTTATGTATCTGGGTGCTGTGCCTATATAAGTATGTCTATGCACCATATGTATGAAAGTGTCCAGAAAGACCAAAAACAGGCACTGGATCTCCTGGAACTAGAGTTACAGACCTTTGTGAGCCAGCACATGGGTGGGAGCAGAGAAGCCAGGCCCTCTGGAAGAGCAGCCAGTGCTCTCAACTGCTGAGTAACCCCCTCTTCCAGCTCCGAGGGTTCTTAGTGGCTACATCAAGCCACGATAAATGGCCAATAAATGATGTAAGTCTTTATTATTGTTTCCAACTATTTCTCAAGACTGCTAAGTTTCAGATGATAGTTATAGAAATGTGAGGCCACAGCAGAATCTTAGTCATTGTGAACTGTTATGGAAAGACATCCCAGTGTGACGATGCTTAGGAAAAATATCCTCCTGTCCATCCTCCACTACACTCACACATCTGTATGTTCTTCATTATTAATCAATTTAAAGACAACACGAACATATCACAATAACCCCAAACTTCATGACTAATGTGTCAACACCTGACTTGATTCCTCAAGCTGGGACCTAAGTACTTCAAACAGTATATGGCTTAAATTTGTGAATCTTACAAATTCATTTATGAGAATATGTATAGTTCATCTAAGGACTTTACTGATAACCTTATGGGGGTAAAATTTAAAGTTTTCACTTCACAAACCTCCTCCATTTCAAATAAAACAAAACAAAACCACTCTGACACTAAAAAGCAACTGTGAGTGCTAACTGTTCTGCCCACCTCCACTCTCTGTCCAGCCCACGTCTGAACAGCTTTTACTTACAATATCCAGCCACTGGTGCACAGCAACTGCAACCTGTGTCCCCAGGGGTTTTGTCAACACCAGCACATCCCCGGGTACTGCATTATCTGGCCTGGAGAAAAGAAAAAGAGTGTGTTCTGATCAAACTAACTAAGGAGGCAATATTCAGGCAAAAAGGGAATCTTGTTTAAAATAAATGTTTTTGCACTAATTTGTTCCTTTTCTTTGTGTGTGAATCCACATGCATGTGGGTAAGGTAGAAGCCAGAAGTCAATATTGGGCAGTATTTTTAATATTTTCCAGCTTAGTTTTTTGAAATGCGGTCTCTTAGTAGGCCCAGGACTTACCATTTGGCTAGACCAGTGGCTAGTGAGCCCCAGAGACTTATCCATGTCTGTCTCCCCTGCTGGGAATACAGGTGAACACTGCCAATATCTAGCTTTTAAGTGGCTGCTGGAGACAGAACTCAGGTCCTCATGTCTGCCCCACACAGGCCATCTGTTAGGAAAAGGGAAGCCTCTGAGATGCAGGATGCTTAGTGGGCATGCCTTCAGCTCCGGGAGTCCAAGGAGCCTCCACTCACTCCAGGATGACTAAATGTGATCAATGTGCTCAGCTCCACGCTGCTGAGCAAGACTCAGCACCAGGCAGGGGCAGGGGCAGCATGGTGCCACTCACTTGTCCGTCTCAGGTGCCTGGGGGACTAGGGCAGAGAGATCAAAGCCTGTTTCACATGGCAGCCCTAAGGAACCATTTAAAAAAAGAGATGGGGGGGGGGTGATGTAGAGAGCTGAGGATGTAGCCAAAGGCAGAGCCACTGCCTTCCACACACAGCTCTGGGGTTCAACTTCCTAGTACTGGAAAAACAAGCAGGCAAGCAAAAACCACAAAGCAGAACAGCAAAGACCAAGCCTGTAAACCCACAGTTAATCTGCACTTCAATGCTGTGGAGTGGAACCTGGCAGAGCCTTTCTGACAGGCAGGCTCTCAGCATTACTGGCACACCCCACCTGACCTAGAGATTCTCAGAACTAGTTGATCTAGTTGATCTGCTTGAAGGTTACTCCTGGAACATTAGTTACAGCATCAAAATAACTAAACATAATTAAAACACCAATAGCAAATATACAAAACTAACAGGAGGGTGCCTGTGATGCTCACAGATCACGCCCACTGTACTGTAGATTCTTTTTACATCTTTTACATTTGACCCAGGTTTACACAGTACCTACTAGTTACTAATTAAAAGCTGAAGTGAGGGTCAGTTGCTGGCTTAGTGGGTAAAAGTGCTTGCCACCAACTCTCCTCTGGACCTGGTTGCCATCAACTTTCAGAACCTAGGTTCAATTTCCTAGGACTCCCTAGGAGGATGAATCAGCTCCTGCAAGTGGTTTCCCACCACACAAATAAATAAATAAAACAAAACAATCAATCAATCAATCAACCAATAAATGTAAAACAAATAAAGGAAGGGCAGAGTGCCTTTCTTAATATCAAACATGGAAAGTGACAATCTATATTGAAATCCATCTCCAAAGAATACAGAGACAAAAAAAAAAAAAGAGCCAGGCAGTGGTGGCGCATGCCTTTAATCCCAGCACTTGGGAGGCAGAGGCAGGCGGATTTCTGAGTTCGAGGCCAGCCTGGGCTACAGAGTGAGTTCCAGGACAGCCAGGGGTACACAGAGAAACCCTGTCTCGAAAAAACAAAACAAAAAACCAAACAAAAAAAAAGAAAAAAGAATACAGAGAAATGCTCCCTCACCCCAAAGAAAGCTGTAAGACAAGATAAGATGCTTGCCCTCACCAGTCATTAAAGAAACACAAGTCAAAGCCACAATGGGATGTCACGTATACTCACTCTATTGGTTCTGAGCAGAAGAAGAATGACATTATAAGACGACTTCAAGAGGGGATGTGGAGAACTTGGGTCTGTACATACATAAAATAACAAAACTGTACTTGAAGAGGGTTCATAGTAATAGGAGAAAACAACTCAAAAGTTCACCAGTCAATGGACAGACTGTAGTATACACAGACAACAGCTTATTAGGCCATAAAAAAGTACTGTGTAGCTAGGTAGTGGTGGTGTACACCTTTGGCCACAGCACATGGGAGGTGGAGGCAGATGGATCTCTGTGAGTTCAAAGCCAGCCTAGTCTACAGAAAAAAGTTTCAGGACAGCCAGGACTACCAAGAGAAACATACTCTTAAAATGGCATCAGATGCCTTCTTCTGGTGTGTCTAAAGACAGCTACAGTGTACTCATATACATAAAATAAAGAAATCTTTAAAAAACAAAACAGAACAAAAAAGTTAAAAAAAAAAAAAGCGCACCATGGATTTGTGTTACAATTTGACGACGTGAGAGCAAGTAAAGCCAGGTACAAAGCGTCCTACAGAGCAGGGTTCCATTTATCCACAGTGCTCAGAACAGGCCACCTTACAAAGAACAGCTTACTGGTCTCCAGAGCACTGCAGGAAAGGGAAACTGGAAATGTCTGCGAAATGAGGACAGGCTTGGGTGAGGGAAGCAAACGTTCTGGGTACTGGACAGGATGATGATCATTCATACCTGCACTCACAAAACCAGCGAACCGTAGACTTAAAACCCTGACACCGAGGTAGAGCTCATGGTGCAGTTCCTGCTTAGCAGACACTACAAACTCTGTTTAATCCCAGGTACAAGAAACCAAACAAAACCAGAAAAGCTGTGAGGCAGCTCTTACCTACAATTCTTGGACTGAGCAGGCTAAGGCAGGAGGATGAGTTTGAGGTCAGCATGAGATACAAACTGATACCTTGTTTAAAAAAAACAAACCAAAAAAATAGACAAATAAAATGCTGAATAACATGTTACATGTTTTTGTCATGTGAAATTTACAAAGTCTAAATTTGCTGAAGAATAGGATCAAAGTACTGAAAAATGCTATGACATGTATGAATATATAAACGCTATGCTAATACAAGAAGTGAAACCAACCAAGATGGAGCTGAAGGACCAGCAAGTGATAATGGAGTGGGAGAGTGTCCACTCAGGGTGATGGAAGTGTTGAAGGGACACCGGTGAGTCTATGTTCTGGAAAGACCCAGAGCCGCTGAACTGCACACTCTAACTGGGCGAATTGTACAGCAAGTGAACAATTCCTTAATATACCTTATCTTTAGAGAAAATGAGAAACGTAAGTTCCAACATGAACCAAAGCCAACTTACATGATAAATTCATTGGGCTGGCAGACAGTTGTGGCGACTCCTCCCAGAACAATCCAGGGATTTAATACTGTTTGGCCACCAGTGACAGAGGTTCCCGCTTCCTCTGCCGCATCTTTAAAACCCTGGATAATTAGCGGTATCACTTTATCCCTCTCCTAGGGTTTAAAAGGACACAGATGAAAAGTCATGAATTCTGTTTGAACCCAGAAAGGATGGTTCTACATCTACAATTATAAACAGATTAAAAAAACCTCTAGAGAACCAGAAACTGACAGACAGGGTAGAGTGCAATAAAGCAGGGGCGTGTTTCCTGATGCAAGCACGCTGGCAAACATATTCTGGGTTACAAAGTGAACCAAGCCCAGTTTCTTAACTGGTATGGGTATAATATGCCACTTGCCCACAAGGCATGGTAACTATCAGAGGCCAGTTCTTGGCTGGTTCTGAAGAATACAAGATAAGCTAACCATATAAACACAGCCCTATTTTCAAAAAGGATTTTGTTTGTCAACAAGTGGGAAGACTTGCCGAGAGATTCCATGTAATGGATCCCCAGAGAAGCCCTTCCTGTGAGAACTACTGCTCAAAGTGCAAACTGCTAGGGAAAAAGGCCACAGAAAACTGGGTTATCTATCAGTAAATCATGACAAACTTTGACTGGGGAGAGCATATGGAAAGAGAAAAATAAAAAAATATACCTTGTTAGAGTAAACTAAATAACGGGGCCAGAGAGATACCTCAGTGGTTGAGATTATGCATAAACATTTGGCTCCCAGCACCCACATGGCAGTTCACAACTACCTCCAACTCCAGTTCCAGGCACACTCCGCGTACTTACATACATGCTGACAAATATTCATGCACATAAAATAAAAATAACCTAAATAGGAATTCATACCTGGTTCAAAGAACAGGTAAAAGAACAGAGTGCCAGGCAGTAACAGAGATGTGAGCGGGTGAAAGCCTGAAGCCTAGCCCTCAACTCGCTACCTGAGGGTCATGAACTCTGAACCTAAGCCACACATCTGGCACCAAGGTACTATTAATGTAGCTAAGCTTATTAAGTCCTCCCCCCACACCCACGCACACACAAACTTAGCTTTTTATGTACCCAGAAGAGAGTTAAGGTGGGAGAAAAAGAGGACAGGTACTCTCATTTTCATTCACAGATAAATGCCCCAAAGCGAAGAGCTGCAATACTGGAGACCATGTTTGTAAATGCAAAATAAAGGGCACCTGTGACTTACCCGGTCAGTCATTTTATTACTGACTCCAAGGAGCATCAGCATATTGTCACATTCTGTGACACCCATTGCATAGAGGTCACTGAGGACATTGGCACATGCTATCCTGCCCTAGGAAAGAGAGCAGAGATGTGAAAAAGCCAGGGATTTCCATCTGTAGAACCAAAGATGGAGCCTACGAAGGCCTCTAAGACCTTGGGAGTTTCCAGGAAGGGCAGCTCCGGGATATGACTCTCAGCTAGTACCTTCAACTAACCAGCAGGCCACCCACTCACCCATGGGAGCAGAACAAAGAATTCACATTCTTTCCCATCTAAGATTCAGAGCCCCAGCTCAAGATGGGCCAAGGTGGGGGATCAGGAAGAGAAGCAGGTAGCACGATGGTCTGGGAGAGACAGTCATTTAAAGGCAACCTTGGAAAACGGCACTCAGAAGACCATGGGAAGTGTTGCCTCTGCTGCTTACAGAAAGAGATGATTTTTATGTTGTTGGATTAAGAAACTTCTGCAGCTTCAAGTAGAAAAAAGCAAATAGGAAACAAAAGTAGGAGAAATAAGAAACACACAGACTTGAAGAAAAATTGAAATAGCATTTCCCAGTCAATTCTACTGCTTTATGAGGAATTTAAACAGCATCCACTAGGATGTGGTAATGAAGACTACTGCTCTGGGAGATCTTGTAAATGTTAAGTTGTTATTGTCTAAATTATTTTTATAGATAGTGGAGAAAAATAACAGGGCTTTCCTCTGACATAGGATAATCCACACGGATGCAGCACATCATTTTCAGTGGCTGTTCTGTTTCTGTCCTTGGAACTTCCAGGCAGCCCTGCAGCCTTCTGCAAGCCCTGTCAGTGAGGAGCCTAGAGGCTGAATCACAGGCCATAGGCAGACATGTAATAGCCACTGTTGCACGCTTCTAAGAGATGCTGGAAAGACAGCTCTGGGCAACTTCTCTGCCACCCATGCTGCTTTACAGAGAATGTACTTCCTAATACCCTCTTTACTCACACTGCGCTAGAGAGTCCTCATTTTCCTACTCATGGCCTGAGTCATTACGTGTGACACTTGATCCCAGTGTCCCTGCAACCCAGGAAGGACAGATGACATTTTAAACAAGTGGGATATTCCCATTTCTTCACTGTTGGTTAAAGACTAGGCAGAATATGGGCTGCTGGCTGTAGTGTATAACAAAAGATTGGAAGTATGTCTGCACAGTGCATGGCCAGTAGCTACAACTTTGTGTGTCCGAGCATATGCATGCGTTAGAGGACGGAGGCTGATGTAGAGTGTCTTCCTCAGTCACTCCACCTTATTTTTCAAGACAAGATCTCTTGTTGAACTTGCAGCTCAGCAATTGGCCAGCAAGTCTCAGGAATCCTCCTGTCTCTGTTTCTCAGCATGAGTACTAGAAGTGTGTGCAGCCACACTTGGCTTTTTATTTGGGTGCTGGGGTCTTCCTGCTTACATGGGGAAGTGCTTTTCCTTGCTGCGCCATCTCCCCTGCCCCGTAGTGACAACCTGAATGTCATGGTCAGGTAGATCTCAGAGTGGCATATGATACAGTGGCGAGCGGGCATGTAGGTGGCTGGGTAGCTGGTAACCAACTTACCCTGACATTTACAAGAATAAAAAAGGTTCAAGAAGTCCAGTTGAAAAGCAAACCAGGCATGGTGGCGCACACCTTTATTCTCAGCACTGGGAGGCAGAGACAGGCAGATCTTTGAGTGTGTGGCTCTATAGAGAGTTCCAGGACAGCCAGGGCTACACAGAGAAACCCTGCCTTGGAGGAAGTCCAATTGTGATGAGATTCCCAAGTTCCTCTACTGTGGGAGGAAACATTTAGAATCAGTGCTATTACAAAGTATAGCCAGAAACAGCCAGGAGCAGTAAATTTTACAAACATCAGAGAGACAGGTACAAGGAAAGAAAGTGGAGAACACCACCAACTCTTAGTATTCTCTCAGAACAGCAGATGCTGTCCTGCACACACTATAAAGGCAGCAGACAGATCTCTCCGCGCCACTTGGTTCATGCAGTGTCAACTGAGAAGACACTGTATCAGGGAACGGTAATATAATTTGGATACAGCAAAAGTGGAAAAACACAACAGCAAAACATAAAACCCAAACCCAAAGGCACACATAAACCCAGCTGAAACCAAAACTGAATGCATAAAGTTGTTCCAATTATAAAAATAATTGGAATACACAAACTTACCATCATGTAAGGGTCATCGACGATTGGATAAATGTAATCTGTGGTTTGAACCAAGGAAAGACCACCATGCCGCAAAGGAATGACGCAAGTATCCATCCCAATGCCTGGCAAGATGGACATTGCCAGCACCCAAAAAATAAAAGGAGAAAAGAAAAGCATTTAATTCTATATGAGCAGCACTTTGGGCGGGAAGGATTTCTACAACAAGACAGCAAACCCCACACTGCCAACCAAACTATGTGTGTGCCATCAAGAGGTGTTACTGAAATGACTGAAACAGAGCCAGCATAGGATGCAAGACATGAATTAATTGTTAAGCAGCAAGACTGCAAGACAGCATAAGACCCGAACCTTACTGAAGTCTTTAACACTTTATATTCCTGAACCCTGTGATGACCTGGCTATCCTAGATTCACTGTGTAGAGCAGGCTGGCCTCTAACTCACAGAGCTGTGCCTGCCTCTGTCTACCAAGTGCAAGGAATAAAGCCGTGTGTGCTATCAAGGCATGGTGCTACTATCATGCTGGCTCATATAGAACTTCTCTGCATGAGCAAGCTCTACAGATGAACTGTTAGCTATTAATGTCATAGCTACTTTGGTATTAATTACTCACACGTTATTATAACTTCCTAGATAGTATCTGTACCATATTCTCGTACAGAAAATGCCAGTTAGCATTACATTTAGCCTGAAGGAACCAGTAAAGGGCAAAGCAGGAATTCAAAGTTCCCAACCAAGTGTGTGCAAAAATACTCAGCATCTGGGTAATTCAATTCTTTGTTTTGTTTCCCCAAAGCACTTTCTACACCTTGTGTATCCATACATACTTTTGTATGTACACATGTGTGCACCCAGACACAGAGGTCAGTATCTGCTTTCTTTCCAATCTTACTTTCACCTTATTTCACTGTCAGCTTCAGCTAGGATGGCTGTCTGTGAGCCATCGTATGCCTTTTATCTAGCACTGTACTATATAGTACAAGTATATAGTACTTGGTTTCAGAATCACTTCCTGATGCCCCTGGAGTGGACAAGTTGGGGACTTATTAGATATGGTTAATCTGATGCTGGACAAATCTTTTGGAAGTTCAGGATCCTATTAAAAAGCCAGCCAGCCCTAGATTATGGTTGACATTATGTTCGTTACTTTCTGTCAACATGACACAAATGTAGATAAAGTCAGGAAGAGAAAAATTCAGTTAAGGAATTCCCTCCACAGACTCGGCCTAGTGGGCATATCTGTGGACATTTTCTTGGTTGCTACCTAATTGATATAGGAGGGCCCGGTACACTGTGGGCAGTGTCATCCCTGAGCAGGTACACTGGGCTGCTTTAAAAAGCTGGGGGAACAAGCCAGCATACAGTGCTCGCCCTCCTTGGCTTTCCTTGATGAGGGACACCCGTAAGCCAAATAAACCCTTGCCTCTCCAAGTTGCTTCTGGTTATGGTGTTTATCAAAGCAACAGAAAAGCAAACCAGAACTAGAACTTTCTCCATAAGGGACAGTAAGTAGTTCAGACTTCAACTCCACTGTCACCAAAGCAGCCACAGACATGTTCACACATGAGTGAAGCTGCATTCCAATGTAATTTTCTTCAGAAACACACTGCAGGTCAGAGTTGTACCTGAGGCCACAATTGTGACATACTAGGATAAAGGAGAGACCTTGGTAAACAGGACCAGGGCGAGAACTACTGCATAGAGTTCAGACTGGACAAGCTTAGGGAGGCACCTCTTTTTTTTTTTTTTGGTTTTTCGAGACAGGGTTTCTCTGTGTAGCCCTGGCTGTCCTGGAACTCACTCTGTAGACCAGGCTGTCACACATGGTCACATGACTGACAAGGAGATGAACTTCTACATAGAGAACACAAGCTTCCAGGAATATTACCAATAGGCCTTCATCACAGAGTCAGGAGAGTATCTACAGGATATGGGAAGTTGGCTGAGGCTATACAGCTCAGGAGTAGAGGACTTGTCTAGCATTCATATAGCCCTGGTGTGTGTGTGTGTGTGTGTGTGTGTGTGTCTGTCTCTCTGTCTCTCTCTCTCTCTCTGAAATGGGTCTCTAAAAACTAGAGTTTCAACTAGAAAGCTAAGGATAGCTGGAGTAGAGGAACAGCGTCCCGTGGCCCCGGACAGGTTAAAGGCAAGACTGAGAAGCTGACGCTTAGTTACAGGGAAGTCTAGGTCTTCTCAAAGACAGAAACCTTCTACCAAGAATAGAACACAAGCAGTGGTGGTACGCAATGCCTTTAATCCCAGCACTCCAGAGGCAGAGACAGGTGGATTTCTATGAGTTGAAGGCTAGCCTGGTTAACAGAGCTAGTTCTGGGACAGCCAGGGCTATACATAGAAATCCTGTCTCAAAACCAACCAACCAACCAACCAAAATCCAGGAATAGGGCATTTTCTCAATTAGTGATTGATGGGGGAAGGCCTAGCCTATTGTGGGTGGTGCCAACCCTGGGCTGATGGCCCAGGATTCTAGAAGAAAGCAGGATGAGCAAGCCATGAAAACAAGCCAGTAAGTAGCACCTCTCCATGGCCTCTGCATCAGCTCCTGCCTCCAAGTTCCCGTTCAGACTTTCTTCAATGATGAGCAGCAATATGGAATAAGCCAAATAAACCCTTTCCTCCCCAGCATGCTTCTTGGTCAAGTGTTTCATTGCAGCAATAGAAACCCTCACTAAGACACGGAGTCGATAATAGTAATTATGTAGATCTTTAAGCATGTTTTGGCTCATCCTTTAAGTAACAGATTTACAGAGCCATGTATAGTGGGGCTCTCTAATCTCAGCATTTGGGAGGAGTTCTGTGTTTGAGAAAGAGAAACCACTAATGATACAAAGAGCTCAGAAAAGAAAACAACAGTGCCCTCAGCTCCACTGAGCACTCTGGGTCAACTTCAAGCCATGCATATGTATATGTGTGCAGCTGATGCGTAAGGGTACAGATGCACATGTGCACACATGCATGTGCAGGCCAGAGTACAAGCTCAGGTGTCAGTTCTCTTTTGAGACAGAGTCTGCTGGCTGGTCAGCCAGCAAGCCCCAGGACACATCTGTCTCTCCCTTTCCAGCACTGGGATGACACGCACACGGCACCACATACATCCTTTTGGGGGAATCAGACTCACTGAGGTCCTTGAACTTTACAACCTGAGCTACTTTCCCAGTCTGCTCTCCTGAGTCTGCAATAGTCTGCGAGGCCTACTGGAAACTTTTCAGCCCATATGTCCTGCAAAGGCCCTCAGTCACGGTCCTTAAATCTGTTTTTAGGATACTTAAGGCAACACCTTGACTAGGGCAATGAAGAGAACACAGCATTGTAGAGGCCATTTGAGAGAAAAGGCAGAAAGGAGTTTCTGCTTAATTTCTGCTAACCGAAAAATTAAAGTAAAAAATGCCCTACTGTAGTATAATGATGTCACGATATACTCTATAATTTCAAATCCGCTAACCATGTGCCCTGTTGCTTTTCAAATTCTTTCTTTAAATAAGTGGCATTAACAGTCACACTAGCTACTGAGACCATCTGACAGACTTGAAGAGTCAAAGCAACACAGGAGAGAAGTCTGGTTGTTGACCACACTTCTGGGTGTTAACAGATGGTGTACATACCAAGTCGAGGCATAACAGCTCCCAGAAACTGCTCATCTTCTTGGAAGTGGTTCTCTTGTAAAGATTCCAGCAATTTCTGCAAGACATCTTGGGGCACTTTGCAGCCTGTGCCTTTCAGTTCAGTAAACCTGGTTAGCCGGAAGCTCTTGTCCAATTCATAAGTTTCCGGGTTAAAGGACTCCCGAGTAGACATGGTTCTGTGGCTGCACTCTTCACAGTTCAGCCCCTCCCTCCCCCTCGATCCACTGGGCTTTCTACTTGTGATCCACCTAGGTATCACCAAAACATAAAAAAAAAGCCATTGTTAAGATTCTGAACTGGTATTTGTCAAGAATCAAGTGAATGAATATATACCAGAGAATCATACACAGGGCAGGATTGCCTAGACCACAGGGAAATACTTTGTTAAGTTAGGGTGTGGGGTAAACTGTAGTCATAGATAAGGTAAGCTCCCATGACACCAGTCACCTGGGCAGTAAACTCTCTGAAGTTCCTCTAGGGTGCAGGGCTAAGACAAGACAACTAGTATTCACTAGTGTCAGCCTAAAAAGTTCTATGCACTTTAGAAAGCAAAGATCCTAGCTACAGTGACTTTTCTGGAAAAACCTCTGGCTGTCTTTTGCTCTCTCACAGAGAAAAATAAAACAGCCACCAGAAACTGTAAAAAGGGGGACACAAATGCATCTTATGCAATTTGTTTTAAATTGAGACAGGGTCGCTCTGTATAGTTTCAACTGTCCCGGAATTCGTTCTGCAGACCAGACTGGCATCATAGAGATGAGCCTGCCTTTGCCTCCTGTGTGCTGGGATTAAAGGTGTTTTACCATCATTCTCTGTGAAATTCTTCAAGATACTAAATCCTAATTTAAAAAATAAGTCTCCCTCTGAACCAGACACCACAGCATCAAACTATGGGAGAAGTCACTGAAGGACAGACATTACTTAAAAACGAAACAACAAAAACCCAAAGGCTTCCCATGGCTGTAAAACACAGTAACGTTCAAGAGAGTGCTTGCAAAGTTCTCTGATGCCTTTTAAACGTTCCTAGAAAGCAAACATCTGCCTAACAAACCAGTACACACATCATTGACAAAACATACTACTATTCATCACTAACTCATTACAAAAAGAAACAGTATCAGACGAGATCACTAGTATTATGGTACTGGTTACCACGCATTGAATTTCTGCACAAGCTCTTCTGGTTGCAGCCTTCCATTTAATTCAAAAATCAATAAGTGCTCCCGGGGTTTACAAACTTTCTGACTGATGCTTTATTGGGCATAGGATTACAGACACCCTAAGTTTTAGGGTCGGCTTCCCCTATAAAATTTATGATTGAGAACATAATTTCCATTTATAGAGTTTTCCATCCCCCAGGAAGCACATCACTCATTTAACTAAATTTCACAAAGCCCAAATTTGGGCAGTAATCCAAACCGTCGTCACAAAACATGACATGAGCAATGATTTCAGCGGGAAACTACAGACACGGATTTCACGCATCATTCATAGAAACCAAACTTCTCTAAAGAGTAGTGTGAGCCAAGCAAGTTTCCGAGTTGGGAATTCTGAAGCCATTTAAGAGATTGGAAAAAGTGTGAATTACAATTCAACTTCGAAGGTTTGGAACAGCACATCCCCTCGCAAAAAAGTGTCTGCTTCACCTTTACCTGGTACAAAACGGGAAAACTATCTTCCATAAGGAGTTTATTTTCCTACTTCCAATCCTTATGGCCTCAACCCAAAGGCAGGAGAGGGGCTCTTCAGAGCCCTTTTCTTTTACGTTATTTTCCCTACACTTTCTGGTTAGGAAAGTTTAAAAACGCCTTACATCAAGAAAACTCAGCAGTTCAAAAACTCCCAAGTGCAAGGAGACCTAAGTCACACGGCTTGACCTTAAATAAAGCTCAAGCTATTTGAAAAGGATGAAACTCGGGGTGTGCTTTGGATGGAGGAGAGTACAGCCGACCTGGCAGCCACATGTTTACACCTTTAAAACAATGACATGAATATTTAAAGACCGCGTTTAACCCCTTCGCTCCCGCGCGTGGGGCGGGCTCCGGCAGCCGGGTGCGGTGGGGTAGCACACCTACCTCCCCGCCAGTCCCCAGGCCCCGCGTCTGCTCACAGGCCCCGGCGCCGCGGCGTGTGCGCCGGGACCCCGCGCCCTCCATGGGGTCGGGCGCGGAGGATGCCACTCAGGGGACACCTTAAGTCTCAGGCTGCCGCCTTTAAAGGCACGGCGGGCGCGGGCCGCGTTCTTTGTACAGCGCCGCGCCGCGGGCAGGCCGCCGGCAGGGCCATGCCGCACCCCAGGCCCCGCGTCGCCGCTGCCGCGGTGACCGTCGCCGGCGGGGACCGGAGGGACGCGAGGACCGAGTGGGGGCGGGGAGGCCCACGGCGCAGCGCCAGGACACCGGGCGGCTAAGGCGGAGCGCGCGCGCGCGGGCTCCCCGTCCGCGCCGCCACACAAAAATGTCGGCGGGCGAAAAGATTAACCCCTGCGTGGCCGCCGCCGCCCTCCCCCTCCGCTCCTCCCTCCTAACCCCGGCCCCGCGTGCCGCGGCGGCGACGGCGGAGGAGGCAGCGGCGCGGGCGGCGCTTCTTTTTTAAAGCGGCCCCACCAAACCCTGGGCTCGGCCCCTCTCCAGGCAGGGCGCGCGAAGGGCTCCGGTGCACGGCTCCCCGGCCGTCCCGGGCGGCCCGGAGGGGGATTTGCAACGGCCGCGCCGGGCCTGCGGCCCGATATTCCCCTTTAAGCCTGCTGTCTCGCCCCCCCTCGCCAGGCCCGCCGCTTACCGGCTCGCTTTGCGCCCTCCGCCTCCTCCCGAAAACGGGCCGCGGCGCTCCCACAATGCACCGGGCGCGCCGGGCTCCCTTAAGCGTCGCCTGAATAAAAATGCTGCTCCCGGTGGCGGCGGCACGGCCCCGCGCTTGGACGCCGCGTGGAGCTTGGCCTAGGCTGGGCGCGGCCCTCCGGGAACCGGACCGCCGCACTCCCGCCGGCCGGGTGCGCGAGGGTCCCTTTAAGAGCGGCCACCTCCCTTTAAGGCGGCGGGCCGGTGGCCGGAGCGGCTCCGTGTTGCTGGTGGCAGTGGCGGCGGCGGTGGTGGTGGCTGCGTGCGGCCCGGGAAGGGGGCGGGGGCGCTGTGCAGAGGCCCGAGCGCGGCAATGATTGGTCTCGGGGGAGGGGTGGGGGGTTGCAAACCCAAGGAACGGTGGCATCCGTTGCATGATGCAAAAGAAAAAAAAAAAAGAGGGGGTAGATTGATTTCAAAAGTTGCGAGGAGCACTGGCAGCAACCTTGAGTGATGGGGCCCACCTACTTTCGCATCCCTCTGTCCCGCGAGAAGGGACCAAAGTGGTTTTTTGCATAACCTGGCCCGGTGCGACTCCCGCATCACCATCACCCACGGGACGCAATACCTGCTCCCAGATCTCTGCTGCAGCGAGACAGTGACCGTGGGAACAATTTGCAGAGGAGTGCAGGAGCCAAGGACTCCTCGGCCCCCAGTGAGACATTTGAAAACCCAGCTTAACCCCGCGCTCCATTCCCAGTGACTCCCATCTTTTCTTCATTCTATTGTTTAAGCGTAGCTCCGCATTTCATTGGAGTCCCAGTGAAATATGCAAATGCCCTGTGAAGTTTCTTGATTCTTTGAAACGCATTTGGGGCCTTGGGGGCCGGGGTTATGTTGTTCGGTAATATCATTTGTTCTAACCATGTCCCAAGTAAACATGGCAAACTAATCCTGTGTGCTTGAAGTGACATTGGTGATGCGGTTTCACTTCATGAAGTAACTTCAGATTTCCGACTTTGTCATGCATTGCTGGTGCAGAGTGCGTCCATTCAAAGGACTTCCCTGGAAAGCTGAGGCGAGCTAACTTGGTTTGGAATAGGTTCTCAATATTTTCTCGATTTGGTGATAGCCGAACTGGGCTTTTATGACTGTTTTTAGGTTTGCACACCACGCGGATGTCCTTTTCATTCCTGAAATTGCTGTTTACCAGTTTCTTAGGACTGGGATCTAGGATGCAGAGTGTGGCCAGATGGACACAGGCGCCTCCTGTCTTTGTGTCTTTTGACCCCACAATACATTTGGGAGAATACAGTAGCACCTGGGCTCCTTAGCGTCAGACTTCGGACATCGATTTATCGAACATGTAGTTTCTTGTGAATGGTCAGGAGAGGACACAATCACAGTCTCACCAGATACCACACCAGGACTCCAAAACCAGAGGGAAAGGGTTATTAAAGATACCTTTGTCCCTCTCCGCCTTTTAAATTTGATTTTGCACTTTAAACAACGTGACTTTTTTTGTCCCTTAGTTAAAAATAAAAGAAGACTCCACAATGAGGAAAATAAATTTTTCGATGTGGATGACACAAAAGGACCCCCATGTCCAGATTTATGTGCCCTTCCAAGGAGTCTTGGCTCTTTGTTAATGTTGAAGAATGCTTTTTCTCAGTGGTGATGAAGAAATAATGTCCTGGGTTAGGGGGGTATTGTTTTAATGAAACTACTAAGCCTGCATGGTACTTGAACTGGAAGCATCGGGGAGCAGCCAAAGGGAAGGATTTGGTGTGATTTAATGTGTACCAAAAAGAGGGGAGTATCAGATCCCCCAATTTTTGATTTTGGGAATTGAATGACCAGTGTTTGATGCTTCTGATACTGGAACTACTGGGAAGCTAACAAGTTTTGCAAGAACTTCAACCCTCAAGATGCTAAGCTGTACCCGCTGAATATTCCAGGTAACTGGGAAAGCAGTTTGGAGTTTTGAGATGCAAATCTCTGTACCATCCACTTGTAAATGGTACCCTAAGCCTCAGAGAAAGGTAGGATTAACCCAGAGGGAGATCTTGGACAGAGCACTGCATCCACGGAAATGCAAGGCTTGGGTGAACCAGGCTCTTCCCTGCCTGTAAGATAACAAGTACCTCCAAGCTTACCGTCTCCTCCCCTAACCACCAGCTGCAGGTCTTCAGCAGCTCTGAAACAATTCCCTGCCTCTCTCAAGTTCTGGCCATGGAACTCAGACATGCTAGCCAAGAGTTCTACCACTGAGCTCTATCCTCCAAC